GGTCAGAACCTAAATGTCCTAGACCATTTCTAAATGATTAGAATTTATTCAGATGATTCTGCCATTTTCAATAATTTGGCTATTACCAGTGCAGAAAAATATAATATCATAAACATCCTTTGCACACATAATCAATTGGAGATGTTTTCTTTCTAGCCTACTTATTTTCAAATCTTCCTTATCAGAAAACATTCAATGTATCAATAGGAAGTGCAACCAAATTCAAACCAATGCACCCTAAAACAAGCATTGTACACACAATTCAGAAGTTGCTTTCATATCTTTTGCAAGCCAAATATTTGCAGGTGGGAAGAGACACAAGGGTTGCAGCATATCAGAAATGTCATGTTGTGGTACTATTGTGGAAGTCAATTCTAAGTATGTAAAAAAAAAATACCTTGCAAATGTGAGGAAGCTTAAGTGGTGCAACCTTTTTTGGTGGTGGTGGTGTATTTTTATATATACTATGGCTTCTGTACCACACGTTTGTGCAGAGTATGGACAGATGAAGCTTTGGCTTCTCAAAAGTTCTCAAGTCTCTAATCTTTGTTAGCCCAATACCTTAACTGGATATTTTATTTTATAGTCAAATTCAAGTGGCTTATATCTTTTAAAAGTGCTTTGCCAAGGCTAGCCAGATAATGAGGACATAATAGATGAACTAGTACTATCTCATGTAAACATTTAATAACCCACCCAGAGTAACTTCAAAGCTAGATGGGCATCAAACAAACTTAAAGATAATAATAAATACAAACTATTAGGCAAGAAATCTAAACAAATACAAGGATGAATAATTGAGCAGAATATTACACAAGTTTTTAGAAACTGATGTAGGAAGAGGGCTGCCCAATGAGGGTGCTTTACATTAGTTGGAATAGTCTGGGAGATATTCCAACTAATCCAGCTTTTGATAAGGATTTCCAAATACTACAGGATGTGAGATTTTATTCTCTATTTATATTTCTTTGTCGAATGTTGCTATGTCTTTTTTCATTGCCTTCATTGATATTCCCAGTCTATATTATACTTTGCAGCGCTTTGCTTAATTAATCCTTAATTGTATATTTTTACTTCATTAGTGTATTCATAGTGAATCTCCTGCCCGTGTTTTAATGTGGCAAAATACACAGTTGGCCTAATAAATATTCAGTGGCATTACTAATTGGACACATTCCTAGACAAGACACTGCAATATGATTGGTGAGAGAATTTGGCATCTCTGAAGCTGAAGCTCTATAACAAAGAAATAATATCTGTGGATCTGTTTTATACCCATGTTCTCTGTGCACAGCTTTATTTTATTTTCTAGAAAGTAAAGACCTGTTTTCAAACCAAGGTAGTTTGGAAATACCCTGTTTATGACAAAACTTCCGGTTGCAAACCATGACGGACTCACCGAGGTTAGCTCCATGAGGGGATGGAGTCCACAGCGGAGACGGGGGGGCCTCCTGAGGGTCGACGACCCAGGTTTGGGGCGTTGAGGACGCGGAGGGCGTTGGCGGCCTCGCTGGTGTCCGGTGCCGAGGGTGCCGAGGGCGCAGGGCTTGCTGGCAGCCGGGCGAAGGAAGAACGAGCGGAGGGTGTGGCCCGGCTGCCTGGATGCGGCCTGGATGCGGCCTAGCGGCCCGGCGGAGGCCCGGCGGAGGCGAGGGATACGATCAGCGGCGGATTGACGGATCGACGGCCAGAAACCTAGAAGATCGGGCGACCTGGAACCCGG